TTAGATTCCTATCAGTATTTTATGATTGAATGATGCAACTTTAATTTCTGATATCCATTCAATAAGTTGAACTCATTATCAAAAATTTATTTCTATAATCAATAGGAGTTTCATTGACTTTTCTACATTCTTACGGATTCCTTGTAACTAGTGCTTTAAGAAAAATAAGCATATTTATTGAAATCGTCAGTCATTATTATGCACCGTTAAAAATTTTGCATCTCGTTTACCCAAAGTGCCAAGAAAATTTTTGGTACAATCTTATTTTAGCTTTAAGCTGAATAGGACAACTAAACCATCTACAGTTTAATATTAATCAAACATTCTTAAATATTATATAATATATCCATCATTCTACATTGCAGAGTATGATTTATGAAAAAGACCTAGTTAATTCTAAAAGTTTGAAAGTTTGAAAATTTCTTAAGAACTCTTTCTTATCGTGATACTTTGATTCAATGTTGAACTGTTTTTCTTTAGGTTTATAAGAATTCGGAGAAAAATAGACGTTTTTCGAGCATTATACTTTCCATAACATAAAAACACTACCTAACTCAAAGCCTGGGATTTCTGCACAATGAGGCGAAATGTCCATACTAAAAGGGACTGTATTCAAATTCACTAAAGTGTCACTTACTACTTTTATACGTGTATCTATCGTACGTGTATTTATATCTGGCCGTGTATTCTAATTAATAAGTTAATCTTACTAAACTCAAACTTAAACTGCATACATTCTTTCATTTTTAGAAATGTAAGAACACTATTTTATCGAAGCGTAGTTTCAGTGAGTTTAAGTGAGAATAATTAATTTTCAACTTGTTAAAAGAATGTCAGTGCACTTACGATGCATCAAAAATGAAGTTCACTTTTTACCGTCCTCCTTCACCCTGACCATTGAATACTAAGTTAGTCTTCTTCTCAGTCTAACTCAATGAAGCATTACCAATGATTTGATGTTGGGAAACTTTATGCCACGGCAAATCAAATATATCAACTTTCTCATTGGTAAGAACATAATAGGCGTTGGAATAAACGTGTAAAAAGAGTTTGTTGTGTCCGAATAGTGATAGACATCGTAATCCGTGCAACGAACTGTGTCGCTGAGAAAAGTAGTTTTCATCAACTTAGTTGAAGTACGCAATTTGAGCTTTTAGCGCTTATTTGTATCATTATACATTCTACTATTTTCTCCTCATTTATTCGGTTGAAGAATTTTTCTACAGTCGCATTGGGTCATTTACATCGCTGAAATTGCGGAGACGACGATATTACGATATGTTCCTGGCTAATGGAACGGGGATAATGGAATGTTTTTGTAGGTGTTTAGTTTGTAATATATTACGATATTATGAAAGCTCAAACCACACATAATGAATATGAATAAAAGTATGTTATAGCAATTTCAGAGTTCTTATAGTTGAAGGGTTAAGCAATTTAACGCACTTGGTCTATTGGTCAACTTAATTGAAATTGAACACAATAATCAAATAATCAAGTAGTCAGTTATTGAATATATATANAACCATTAAAATATATATATATATATATATATATATATATATATATACCTGCTCCCCTCTTCTATATTTCCTCCTGTTCTATGTTCCATTGTTCTTTGGAACTTCTCTAAATTATTTAGCTATTATAAATTATTTAATAGATAATTAATAGCTTACTATGAATATTTTTAAGGAAGTATAACTCTTCTTACTGAAGAAGAAGCTGATATTTCTTAGTCTACGAGTTTTTCAAATCAATGATATGTCTAAAATTCCTAACAAATCAAATTTTAATACATTTATTACATTTATACATTTTTAATACATTCAATACATTTCAATACATTTTAATACATTTATTTCAATACGTTTATTTGCATTTTAATGTATTTCAAAGAATTACTAAAAGAATTTGTAATAATAAAATGGTATGGGAATGTTATGCAATGGTATTTTATATTATTTGCAAATGTATAAAGCCTGGTTTCATGAAATAACTAAATATAGTTTTTTAAATAAAGCATTGAAGTAAATTTCGATACAATTTTGATTTTTCTAATTTTTTCCTTAATTAACGTCTTAGCCTAAAAATTTGACAAGCCATCATTTTATTTTAAAAGCAAACTATAATACTTTCAATATCAATGCTCATTTCAATTTATTCAAAACAATTTCCAAATTTTTATCAAAATTATACAAAATAGGTTGTTGTCTAATGGAAAATAAGGAAAATGAAGTTACTTATTTCTATAAAAAAAAAAGCTTTCCATTTGCACTAAAAATATTCAGGTTTTTTTTTCTTTCATAACTAAAAGCTTTACTTTTAGAAACAAGATGAGAGAAAATAGTTAATTACTGCCTCTAAATATTTTATTCCTTTTGAAGCTGGTTTAATTTGCTTGGATTTTTGTATTAAAAATATTGAATACTACTCGAAAATAACATATAGTACAATTTTGTGCGGCTTCATACATTGCTGCTCTTATAGATCTTATTCAAATTCATTAAAATTGTTGGGATTTCAAAAAGTTTGAAAAATTAGGGAAAATTAAGTAAAATTTTAAATAATAGATGAAAATTTTTTTTATGACAATCATATTCAGCGTAGTTTTTGTGTTTGGACTCATCTACCATAATGATTACTCTCTGGAACAATTTTTGTTCTGCTGCTTTAAAATTTTGAACACATTATAGATACTTTCATATCGATGACATCAAATCTTCGATCAATTTTTCTCGCCAAGCTGCAATTTTTTTAATGACAAGTGTATTCTATTTTTGTTGAAATGTACGAGTTTATGAAGATTATATATAACAGGCGGTCACGTAAATAGTTCTACTAGTGCTGTTTTACTACTGTTATACGTGCTTGGCTAAAACTGTTTCTACGCATGCTTCTGAACTGGTCATAATAGAGAAGCTCCCCTAGCCGAGTATGACTACGTTTCAGGACATGGTATCCTATTTACTTTTAATCTTGAAGTTGTTGGTTGCAACAATTTCGCGAGCCGTGGTGGCTCAGGGGATAGAGCGCTCGCCTTCCTAGCTCCTTTAAAAAGTCCAGGTATACCCTTGTCTTCTGGATTGGGTTCGAAATTACAAGCCTACGGAGTTGAATATTATCAGTCGTAAACCCTAAATTGAGTCGGCTTTTCAAGGATGGTTATGAAATAAAATAACGACTTTAAGTTTGTACATTTTGACAAAAAGATGATTAAAAATGTCATTGAAAATAAGTCTGCAGCTTTAGGAGCTAAACTAATTTCAGATATGAAATCCTCTCATCCGATTCAGGCAAGATCAAGTATTGCATAAATGCAACAAAAAATTTGTTTCCTAGTGTTATTAATATATAGTATTATACCTAATCAATTAAAATATTGCTTAATATTATTTTTTAAATAAAACAACCGAAGTTTATAAATTTTATTTATCAAACAGGCTACTCTGGATTCGATTCTTAATGTTGACTTCATCATATTTCTGTTATTTTATATGTTAATTGACGAGAATTTCACTTTGAAAATTGAGAACATTTCTAAAGAAAATTAATTTTTTAGAAAATTAGGAATTAAAAAAAACTTTAAATATCAAATTTTTACAACGCATTTTTTATCTGTAACACTTTTTTTCTTTCTTTAAAAAAAAGTAGGAAATCCGAAGCATTCATTTAGTACAATCTTCACTGCAAGCTTCACAACAAAGTTTTTGTAACAATTTCAAAACAGCCATTTTCATTACATAATATACATTCCTCATTTTGTAAATTTTACAATCCCAGAAACTGAAATTAAGAAAATATTTATAATAAATAAATGATCCTGGAAAAGAAATGCAAAAGTATTTTCAATTAACTTTAATTAAATCAAGGTCAAACGTAACACTTAAAAGGAGTTCTTAAAGCATCGCTAAATCTTTAATGTGATTCGAAGTTAACAAACCAAGTGATCTACTTATTCCGCACCAAATGAAGTGATCTTTGTACAATCTCATACCATGCTTTGACATAATAAACAAAATTAATTAAGCTTTTTTCTAAGTCTCGACAATCTGTCAATCTTGATTAGCTCAGCAATACAAGTATAAATGTTTTAATTACCTTAGATAAATATTGAGATAATTTTTTTTAATTTGTATTTTAATTGATGTATATAAATAATGTAATAAAAACTATTTATTGAAATCTATATCTTTATATAAATCGTTATCCATTTTATAAAAAAATATAAATCATATTTTTGATTAAATTATAAAAGCATACCTTTGAAAACAAAGAAAAAATATTTAAGATTATATAAATGGATTAATTTATTTAAACACGGCGTATTTTTATAACTTTACAAGAAAGTTAATAATAGTTCTCTAAAAAAGATACGAATGAGATTCCACTAGGTAAACTAATTAAGCTAGGTTCCATGGATCGCTTGATCAACCACAACTCAACCATAACCTATCTTCAATGACCATTTTCTAGCAAAAAGCCAAACATAACCAAACTCTAATGTCCAGCTAAATTTCATTTTTATGGTTTTCAAACCATGCAAGTTGTAAATGGTTACAAGACCGTATAGTTTTGTTTCCATGGTTTTTTGACCCTATCACTTGTAAGCAGTTTCAAACCTGTGAAAGTAGAATAGTGTTCTTAACCATAAACTTTGCAACTAATTTAATAAACATACTGGTGTCGATTATTCTACCGTAAATTTAGTTCTAACAGAGTGATTCTTACTTGCAACTGTCCGCTCTGAATGCAATTTTAACTCTTCTATTATCTTTACACATGTCAAATTGAAAAAAAAATTATAGATGCATTCGATGTAATGAAAAAACTATCTATTGATACCAAGTTTGACTTCCGTATAACATCCTTACTCTGAAACGACTTTCAAGGGCTGGAACTGAGTTTGGAGATCCTTTTGTATATGTATTTAAAGTGATATCCTAGAATGCTTGCTACGAAATTATCTAAAGAATTCATTTAAAAAAATTTCAGAAAAGAACAATACATATTTTTATTAAAAATATTTTCATAATAAATAACAGTTGCAGTCTTGATCTATCAAATCTAAGAAGAGTTAAGAGAATTCATTGTTCTAACGATCCAGTCCATATAATGAGAAACTTCAGTATAAACACCAGGATATTTGGGTTGAGCACATCCTCTTCCAAACGATACAATTCCAATCAAGGTTGAAACTCCATTTTCTGATCTTTGAACAAATGGTCCACCAGAATCTCCCTAAATAATTAAAGGAAGTGGTAAATTTTAAATTAGAATAAATAATTAGAGAAAAATGGAAAGAAAAAACATGTTCAAAGTTCAAATATTCTTGTTTAAAACTGTTCTTAATAATGATGGAACTCACAATTACTATACCTTAGCACAAGTATACTGATATTTGATTTAAAAACATATCTTAAATTAGTCTCATCACAGGGCAGGTCGTTGCCGGCTGGATCATAGCACACGGTTCCCAATAGATCACTGAAGTCAAGCATCGCTGATTGCGGTCAGTGAGAGAGTGGGTGATCATTTTGATCAGCTTGCTAAGGGACAGGGGGTGCACATTAACGGTGGTCGTCAAACTGTTCTACAGTTAAGTGCTTGACAACTCAAGCTACCAAAGAAGGGCAGCCATCCCCTCTACAGAGTGTCAAAATTGCGTTGGCATATCTTGGAATCATCCTCAAGGATGTTTCCCAGACAGTTGCCAATAGACCATTGTTCAGCTCTAGCGCGACGTAAATGAATTACTACGACTGCATAGATTATTAACTTAAAACTTTCTCTTAACAGCCTGCGGTAGACCAAGAAGGTCATGAAGGTGACGGTTTACCAATTTCCAAGCGAACGGCATAGTGGGAGCAACGCGGTTGTCTTAACTTTAAGATATTCTTGAACATATCAATTTGATAGAGGATGACCTTAAAGCCAGCATGGAGATTAAACACATGTTTTATACAATGATATCTCAGAGCCTTAATCACTGGGCCGTTAAGGTACTAGTTAATTATAAAGAGTTTAATATTCTATTACACTTAAAATTACTAACACTGATGTTGTTTTCTAAGAAAGTACTGAATTTATTTTCGAAATGATTTTATTATTGCTGCGTTGAAAATTTTAACACGCTTTTCTTACTTTCAGTGAATTGTTTTCTTTTTTGTTCCAGATATTATTTATGTCTCATATTACAGTCATTTTACAAATGAAAAAAGTTTTGATATCGTTTCTTTATTTGTTTATTTTATTTATTTATTTTTTTTATAATTTTAAAAACTATTAAATCAGTTTTCAAAAGCACTTATTGCTTTTCTTCTTCTGGTTATGGTACACATTTTGCGAGTTTTCTTCTCTTTTATTTAAATTTATTCAGAAAACGATGGACAGAAAGGTTCATTTTTATATTTTACAGTACCATAATCAACAGATTGAAATTTTAAATTACTCGTCTTTCGGATGCATTCATGTTGAATTGAATGTATACAAAATTATGTTTATGGGTAAAACAAGGTATTTTAGCAGGCGAATTTTAAATATTAATCTGCAGCCTAAGTAAAAAAATAGCCATGCGTAGATATAAATAACAAAAACACGCTGAATTATCACAAAATATAAACAACAAAAGAAGAAAGCGAAAGATTGTCATATAAAGGAAACTTTTAAATGGTTCAAGATATTAAACTAAGTAGTAAAATTCAAGTGTCTTATTAGACTAATGCAATTTAAAGAAATAAAACAATGAATGAAAATCAATTTAAACCTTTGACATCATGATTTGAAACAAACTCCACAAGTTTTTCATGATAAGAGGTTTCATAAAAATGAAATTACAAAAATTCAGAAGATTGAAAACATAAAAAAAAAAAATCAAAACCATAAAAAAAAATTATAAACGTAAAAAAAGAAATTTATCAGAATAAAAAAAAAAGAAAAGTTCAGCAAATTCATAAAAACAAATAATAACAGAGAATAAAAACAAATTTAAAACATTTAAAAAGATCGTAAAAATAAAAAAAAAATCATGAAAATGAAAAGGAAAAATTCACAAAAATAAGAATAATGTACCTGGCACGAATCCCGACCACCTTCCTCATAGCCAGCACATAACATAGTGTTTTCATATAAATCACCATACACCTCTTGACAAACTGTATCATTCAATATTGGAATATCAACTGCTTGTAATGTTTCAGATAACTTTCCACCTACATATAGAATTATCTCCAATAAGAATATCAAATAATTGGTAATATTGACTTTTACAATGTTGCAACCAAGTAAATTAATTCTTAAACATTATTTCACTGATAGAATTTAACACAAAGGGACAAATTGAAACGAAATATTTCAAGTTTTCCCATTAAAACTGAATAGATTAAAAATACAACAAAATTGCTTTTTTTTAACCGCGTCTGTCTGTAAAAGCAATCATTAATGCATTATGGTAATTGAACGTATACAAAAGGTTTCACAATCTGTCGTTTAAGAAAGTAGTGATGACTCTAATTAAAGAGCTGGATTTAAATTAATTTTTAATACTTCCATTTTTTTTAAATATTTTAAGTATGTAAAGGAATTGATAATTAAATAGCTCAAAATAAAAATTTTTAATAACAAGAAGTTTGCAGGGACCTCCTCGTAATTAGTACTTTAGCATTGTAAGAGAATATTTTAAAAATAGTATTAAATTTTCAGTGCAATAGTTTAAACTAAGAACTTTTTGTTACGCTAATTAATTAATAATAAATAAAGTACTATAAAAAGGGGCGTGCACATTTACAATTTTGTTCCACACATATTCTTCTGAGTTAAACAGCATGTAGCACTAGCTAGAACGAAGATGCATTAGTTTTTTCTTGAAATAAAGTTACTCGAGAAATTTAACCAGTCTCAGGAACATGTTAAAAGGAGAACTGGTTGGCATTTTTGTAACTACTGATTCATGTTTATGTACAAAAATTACTATTTGTGTTTTTATTTCCAATGCGTCTGTATTATTGGATACATATTTATGGTACTATGATCGATAAAATAAGTTGAAATTCAGATACTTTGCAAAGTGAACACGAAACATTTAAACTAGTTCATGTCATGGTGATCCGGAATATAGCAATTTATTAGGTGGTGATTCTATTCCATTTTCTAGTTGTGTGAGAATCAGATCAATTTATCATGATTGTAGACATGAAATTGACGGGGATAATTTTTATTCTGATGTCACATTGCCAGTAGAAGTGGTTGAGTTTAATGTAATAACCAGAAATGATGATGAAATACCAGGAACTGAAAATGTATGATAGGTTCTATTGCAAGTGCCGATGAAGGATGGAAAGAGATGTCAAAGAGAATGGAGAGGCACAAATTGATTTTAATGAAAGAAGCTGATTAAAAAAAATATGAGTGCAATTTCTCGATAACAGCTACTTACTGTTTTGTGTGCCAGATTTTGGTCATTTTTAAAAAGGTAGGTTTGGCAAAAATTTTTTTTTTTAGATTGTCTTCATCATTTCAAATGTTTTCAATTTTACTTACAACAGTAAAAAACAATTGTGCCGATGTATTTTGTAAAATATTCATAACTCCAAAATTATGATTTTAAAGAGAGATAAAAAAATATTCAAAAATAGCACAAATGACCCCAGTTTAAAATAATAAATGCAGATGTAATAAACAACTAATATAATAAAAAGAAAGCAAATAACTAATAATCTCTCATTGCTATATAATAGTTTTTTTTCCAAAAAAATGTGGTCTAATAAATCAAAGTTGCGTAAAACTCAGTAAGTGAATAATTAAGTTTCATTTATGAAGTAAACAGAAGCATAAAGTAAATAATCAAAAGCATAAAGTAAATAATTATCCACTCTCACTTCACTTGCTCTTGGTACTAATCGTTTACATTTTTCAGAAAATTTATCCAACTAATGCATTCGGTCAGAAACTGCAGAAGAGATGTTAATGAAGCTTTTTAATCTCATTATTATCCCAAATTTTCTAATATTTTTACTGAATGTTATCTCTATCTTTCTTTAAAAGAGTTAGATATAAAATAATTATAAATTCCCAAGTAATAGTTTAAAAATAAGTAAAAGTTAAAATCTATAACTGTGCATTTTACTGAATATTTATTTTAATAAGAATTGGTTGAAACTTTTAATGTTTGATCTCTTTATACAAACTCACCACTATTTTGCTTTAACTCAAGCCAAACTCTTTTTAATTATTATTCGTTTAAAGAATGCACTTTAATGCACATTAAAACCTAAACTTCCAAGCACGTTTTCGTAAAATATGCATGCACGCCATGAAATGATTAGACCAAAATTTCATAAGTAAATCAGTGTAATTTAAATGGTTAATTCTGTTTAAAAAAACAGATTTTTAGTAAATGAAACTTAAGAGTAGATCAAAGTATTTAAATAAATTTAATGTGCTATTAAAGATATTATTTTGATTTCTTCAAAATAATGGAAAGAAGTTAAAATCTCACATTTTAATTAAATTATATATCCGAACGTTTAGTGCAACAAAAAGTCTTAAGAGAAAAATGCCATTAAAGGACATGCTTGCTAACACACATACTGTCTTGCTAACACACATATCTTAAAATATTCTTCGTTTCCTGCTAGAACTGTATTTCTGACTTTCTAAAAGGAAAAAAAGTTCTGCATTTTATGACAATTCAGGGCTGGTACCCCTGATGACGTCAGCTTTGATTGTCATGTTTTTTCAAAATTTTTATTAGTTTTTCTTCGATGTCTCACTTCTAGAAGGACACGTCTATGTCACTTTTCTAAAGAAATTTTTTTCGTTCATTTTTATTAACATTACAAAGTCTGATAATCATGGTAGGTTAATACAATGATAAAACTAATTGATAAAATAGAACGATAAAACTAAATTCCATTCCTTTTTATAATTCAGTAACAAGTATTTTAAGGAAATTACCTGAAATTGTATCTTCTTGTTGACTCTAAGAGTTTGATTAGATGAAAAAGAAAAACCCTTACCTTACTCGCCCTTGCCAGAATTATTAAGCAGAAAATACTGTGCTTAATTTTTAGAGTATGAAAAAGAAATAAATTTTATATTTTCCTACCCTGGCTTGTAGTTCCCCATCCTGTCACTGTACCAATGCCTGTAGTATTATCTGCCATATCTCTTGATGGCAAGCATACTCCAGTAATTAAGCCTTCTGCTTCTTCCATATTCATCGGAGACATCAATCGCAATAAAGCAATATCATTTTTTAAGCCAGTCATAGGATTATAACCTTCATGAACGATAGGAATAACCTAAAGTTAAGAATATCAAACACGTGTAAATGCTGTTCTAATATATCAATTAAATGATATTCTTTTTCTACTGCCTTACACTGTAAAAAATTCTAGATCAACTACTCTAAAAAGTACCGGCAATTTAGATGCATCTTCCGTAAAATCCATTTTACCGTAAAATTTCAGAGTACTTTTTATTTAATCACGGATTTTACAGCAATTAATATTGCAAACGCATAAAGTAAAAAAATTAATATTGCGGTCAATCCGATTTTTGTGCCGTAACATGTTCTGGTAAAAAATGATTTTGAGGTAAAAAGTACCCGCACCCTGAGTGCTGGTACTTTAATCGAAATTTGATCCTTAATTTTTTAGAGTGTATCCCTTCAAAAGCAGCTTTAAGTTAAGTTAGAGATAAAGATAGGTACCTAAAAAAGTTATTTAAGTATGCTATCAGTCTTTCTTAAAAGTATTTATTGCTGTAAATGAGAACGTTACTTTCATGTTTTGTTAATTTCTGAAGAAAAAAAAATTAACTGAATTAGCAGGAAATTTTATTTTATCCTGATATGCATTGTCTGTTTTAAATGTTACATTTCAGATATATAAATAGAAAAATAAAATATTTTAAATATAAAGATCTTTTTATGGCAAAAAATTAAGTTCATTTTGGATTTTTACATAAGTTATTTTGCAACAAATTCTGACATTTTAATACTTTCCCAGTTCAAATGCCCTGTAGCAAAATTTATATACTTTTGATTTATTTGAATGTTAAGTATAGTATGATATTTTTATTATTAATTTCTAGAACCTAATGAATTGAAAAAAGTTTAGCAAGCGTAAGCATTTTAATTATGTTCAAAATTTCGTTCAGGTGGAAGGATTTTTAAATTTTCTCGAAAAAATTTGAAGTTCGAAAGCGGACAACTGAGGATCTTCCCAACAATAGAACAAAAGCTCTTAAAGAACGTTACTTACTCTATGATTAGTTGGAAGAGTACGAGTCGTAATATTGTGCACTCCTGCGGCAACTCTATATGTTGTAAAATATCCCCTGTAAGAAATTACACATAATTCAATTTTAGATAATAGGAAATTTTATGTCTTTAGATAAAAAATGTCAATTAAGCTAGTCAAACATAATACTTTTCAATATTTCTTCTTAAACACACGTAAATGATGTAAGTTTTAGATATATTTATTTGGGATATGAGGTAACTGACAGTCTTCGACACTTGCCTAAATATATATATCGTAACCAATGACCACAAAGTAACACATATTACCACTGAGTAATAACTGCGTTTTGATTTCAAATAAACTCCAACTGTTTCAATAAACTTTCAAATAAACTCCACTGTTAAAACTCCAATTAGGGTGAACAATCTCTTCTTGTGATTTTTTTCCATGATAGTAGACATAAATAAACAGGACATTAATAAATTATAATTATATATATAATATTAAATATATGGATATAATTAAATAAAAATTATAGTAATAACATTTTTAAAACTCATTTGATTTAATACTGACAAAATTCTTTTTAAATAAAAGTTTCACGTTAATTTTCAGATCTGATGATTTTTTTTAAATTTCTTAAATAATTATTTCTATAAATTTATCGATAATGAAATGCCAAATATTCAATTTGTATCATAATCTTAAAGGAACACGGTTGTTTGTGAAATTACGTGAGGTACAATTTTTTTTCTTGGTACAATTGCAAATGCTTTTATTTTCTTTAATATAATAGCTATTACCCTTATTTATTAGCAAACAACAGTCTTTCAACAAATAAATGAACAAAAACATAAATTCGAGTAAAAAATATTTTTTATAATATTTTGAGCAAAAGTTGTTTTTTTTCTTCATGCTTTTGATTTCAATGTTGGTTTACTCATTGTCTAAAAACAATAAATAATATGGTAACTATAATCTTTGAAAAAACTGCATAAATGTTGAAATTTTCTGAATTAATTAAAATAGTATATTCCATACGTTTAACATAATATTTTTCGCAACAAAATCTCATTTTTGATGAAAAAACAAAATGTCTTTTTTGAAATAAACATTACATTAAAACAAAATAGCAAAATTTTTAAACATAAATAATGATAAAATTACATTAAATCACAATATTTAATCTATTAGTGAAAAAAATTACATTTAATCAGTTTCAAGAAAAAATAATAATTACCCTGCTATACAGTGTGCAGCAGTTACTGCCCAGTGTTTGTTGATTACAGAAGCCCCACAAATGTGTTCATAACTGCTCAGCATTGGTAATATTCTCATTTGAAAAGATAACTAAAGAATTATTAAGAATAAAATTGGTTATTATTATTTTTCAACTTGAAAAAGCAATTGAAACTCAAATGAAACAATCTAATTAGTTTTTCTATTGGCGTTATCAAAAACAGGAATTAAAAGGTTTGTAAAATAGTTAATTCAATGTTTCATCTTCAAATATTAAATATAAAAAAAATGCAACCTAAAAGAATAATAATAAGTATGAAAGAATAATGTTAAAATATATTTTGAATCTAAAATACTACAAAAACGTAAAAGGTGTTAAAAAAAAATAAACTACCTGCCAGGGAAATTCTCCTTGTAGAGCATTTCGTCCACCAACTATTTTATTATCTGATGCCGAAGTTTTACTGATCCCACATTTTTCCATACTTGGGTTTTCTTCGCCTTCGCTTTTCGCAGCTAGTAAATTTAAAATAGTTATGAATGAAATTATTTTACATTCGTTTGTTCCGCAGAACATTTTATTCATTCATACTTTACAACCGTTAGAAGAGAGGATTTTTAATAATACGAAATGTTCCATAATGACTTTTCTTAATCTATATTATTAGAATCTTTGTCCAAAAGGAAGTCAAAAATCATAATATTAAGGGACGCAAGTTAATATTAAAGTGAGGAAAACACAAAAACCTTTATTATAAAACTGTTAAAAACTTTGTAAAGAAAGCAGTATAAAAATATAAAAACCAATTTCATTGATTTACGAAGTTTGGAGGTTTCTTATTGCCACCTTTTTTCAGCACTTTTCTGCTTCATTGGAAAATCAAACGAGTTTCTAATTTGTTTTCATTTCCGCATTACTCGATAGTCATTCGTATAATTTAGATACAGTTGTTAGTTTTGTTTGTTTCCCGTGCCTATGAATTAATTTGCGACTGCCACTATGTTTTCTTTTTCTTTTTTTTTTTGTGAAAATCCTAAAAATTATTAAGGGTGGTTATTTCGAAACACCTTGTTCAGCAATAGCGGAAGTAAAATACTGTGGTTACCTCTTATTTCTAACCACTCGTAAGTGTTTTTAAAAAATGCAGAGTGTGCAAAATAAAAAAAAATACCTTATTGACTCTTTTATACGGTTAGATTTTCTCGTACTGTTATGCAATCTCAATGGTATTAGGGATCGACCTATATCCTAAATAATGCAAACGATATTTTAAGAGAGAGTTACGAAATAAGATACAAAAATTTCTTTCTCTGAATAAACACCATTATAAACTCATTTATTCAGAAATATTCACGTAAAAAGCATTTTTTAATAAACTATTGCTTTTTATTTTTTAATTTATTAATACTAAAAGAATTGAATTACATGGCATGTAAATTGTTAAATAATTTTAAAATTCTCAACTTTATAGTTTTCAATGGTAAAATACGAAACTTGAACAAAACCAATCCAACATTTTTGTGGAAATAAGAATTTGCAAGAAAGGTAAAGCCCGAGTAACAAACAAAATATTTAATTTCTCAGCAAAGAAGAAATTTAGGACAATTTCAACTTTAAAAAAAATATTAAATACTTTCTAACATTTTTGTAGTAAAAGTAAGAATTTATTAAGATATATCAAATATGTTTAAAATTTATAAAATATATTTACCATTTATGTAAAAATTAAGTATTACTAAGCAGTATCCAAGAAACATGCTGGAATGATGAGTTTTCATAGCTATACAACTTACAAGGATTTTTCAATGCTTTATAGAAATCGAAAACAGGTTTTAGGTTAAATATATTTATGACATGTCCTTTTTTTACCTTTATTTTCGTGTGTATGACCCATTAAAATTCTATGTCATATTCCTTCACCTTATTCCTTATCTGAAGTTGTATTTTAAATCAAAAAGATAGAAAAGAAAGGAAGAAAGCTCAGAAAATTATCAGCATTTTATTGAACATTTTTTTCAATCCAGTTTACAAAGTTAGATACGCGTGTATACACTCCAGGCAAACCAGGACGTGCACATCCTATGCCCCAGGATATTATTCCAATAAGTATAGCTCTTCCATTTTGACGTTGAATCAATGGACCTCCAGAATCCCCCTGAAAGTATGTTTGAAACATGTATAAAATTTGCTAATTCTAAACTGTTTGAATTTTCATTCTGAAATTACTGTAAGAAAACCGACACCAGTCTGTCCATTCAATTAACCTTAAAATTTAGGTTAAGCATAGTTTTTTACCTCTAAGTGTTTTTAACAATTTACAACTAGCATAGTTTTATAAGTTAATTTAACTGGATACTGGAGCTAAGCTTTTTGTTAGGTAATGGGAGCTGGAGTTAGATTGCGATTGAGCTGTATCTTATTAAATGAATCATGCAATGTGGTTTAATTAGTTTATCTGGTTATATCTCTTATTGTAAGAGATGGAAAATACAAGACTTTTTTGTGCTAAGCAACTTTATGGTGTTGCCCTCAGTGAGAATATCATATTCTAATAGTCCAGGGTCACAAATCGGGGAATGCAAGACACTGGAAATTCTTCATGTGTTGAAGCGAATAGAGGAAATATTGTGGTGTCAACGCTGGAACTCGAAACCCGTTCAGTCGATCATGTGATTGACCGATTAGCCCACTCGGCTATAACATGTACCCAGCTGCAGGCATATATGGCAACGTTACTTTTAAAAAGTAACGAGTAAAAGTACAAGTATTTTTAAAAAAAGTAACGAATAAAAAGTAAAAAGTTCTTATTTTAAAAAGTAACGAGTAAAAAGTACAAGTAAAAGTACAAATACTGAACAAAAAAAGTAACGACTTAAAAGTACATTTCTAGGAAATCGAAAATTCAAAGTAACATAAACTTTTATTGAATAATATTCTTATGTTCTTTAATGTTTTTGCAAAATTGTTGTTATTTATTTAATTATTTTTAATTTTGAAAGTTATGGATATTAATTTATTTTTAAATTCGGAAGAATATTATAATATAATTTTATAATATAATCGTATAATATAATTTTAAAATCAAATATAATTTTAATATCAAACTTTTTATGGATTTGCACGAAAAAGAAATTTTATCTATTGATTTTAATTTTTAGTTTATTATTTTTATTTATTTAAATTACCATTGATTTAAAATTGTTTTACTCTATAGAAACGCGTTTTAAAAGCACAAACATAAACAAAGCAAACACGGGGTTTCAGATAGCTTTGTGATCTTTGAGCTAGTAAAAAATAATTGAATGTGCAGTATAAGTTGAAACAGAAGGTATTTAAACACGAAGTTAGCTGTGAATGCATATATATTGCACATTAATTTTATAAATTAAAAAAACATAAGCATTTTTTTTAAATTTAATTTTTTGTTTTTTTAGAAAGCTTACCGAGTTTTAGAAAAAAGTAACGATTTCATTCGATATTTCCGTTACAAATACTTGTACTTTTTCCCTAAAAAAGTAACGAAAGTACAAGTAAAAGTACTAAATTTAAGAAGTAACGAAGTACAAGTAAAAGTACGTACTTTTTACTTGTACCGGCGGTACAAGTAACGAAAGTAAAAGTACTGCCATATATGGCTGCAGAGAACTAAGTGGCTTCACTAGTAGGCCTAGTTGTTGTGATAAAATTCTGGTTGTTTAACCATATTAGGAGAAAGCAGTTAATAAATGGTTTTCCTCAAAATTAACAGTTTAAGTACCATTTTATTTATGGTTATTTGACTGCTTTGTTCAAATATGGTGAAATAGTAATTAAATGAATTGATATTTAATCATATTTTTCGATAAACTTCTAACAGAACTATTAACTCTGTTAGAATCAGAGCTATTAGATATGTATTAAGCTGTTAGAAATTTTGCAACATTTTGAAATAAAATATCGTTTAAAGTTGTACTAACAATAGTGCTAAATTGAACCAAACTGTTGCATTTATAAACCTTTATTAAACGATACTGTTACTCAACTTGTATGCAAACACTGTTCATATTAAAACTGCGTTTAAAATATTCTATTTGGTTTCAACGTTGAACACTTTTTTCTGAGATTGAATGAAGCAGAAAATAAATAAATAAAAGTTCGAATTGAATGAAATTTTATTTAATGATCGGATTTTTATTTTCAAAGATATAATCTTAGTGGTTCAATGGAATGATCTTAAATTTGCTAAATATTGAACACACAATATTTTTTAATTTAAAAAAAATCAGACACAAAAATATGCTTTCGCCATATTAAAGCACAATTAAAAATTTGCGACCGTCAAAGCCTGGTTTGTAACCGCTATATAATTTTAAAAGCAAAATATATATTTAACAAAATCGGTTGCCTAGTTTCCGAGAAATAAAACTTTGAGTAACCAATCATTTTGCATTTTCATTACTCAGAAACTAATTTGAATAATTATAACTAAATCATGAACTTCCTCATTTAATATTATGTAATTTTAATTACCTAACAATTTAAAGCATTATTAACCTTTTAAATAATTCAGTCATTTAGTAATATAAAAATTAAAATTTAATACCTCTTTTACATTAACTTTTTCTTAATTTTTAAGAAAAACAGAAGGAACAATTTTATTGATATTTTTATAAATTATTTCTCTGCAAATTTAGTTTCCTGCTTAGAAAAAGAATTATTTCTATTAAAAGTTACAGTATGATATTAGTTTTTACGCATTTCAATCCAAGCGATTTCAAATTAATACCGCATTAAATAACAAAGCATAATTCATCAGCATTAAAGGTTATTTTTGTTAGACGTAACTTAAATTCAGTAAATAAAGAGTTACAAAAAGATGTTGGTTTCTCCAAAGCATTTTTAGCTCAAAAAAAATTCTGTAAATAAACAAATTACAGTACCATTTTTGAAAATAGGTTATTCTTTACGATATGCGACATAACTTATCTCTAAGAGTGAAAAAGAAATTAAAAAGGAAAGTTGTTTGCTCATAAAAATAATGACTCTCAATATTTTGTATTTAAGGTGTTGAAGAGAAAGCATGTTTGATATTAAAAAATATTTTTTATTCAACTTTGCTCAGATCCAATTAATTAGGATATTTTAAGAATTTCACAATCCATAAACAAGCAACAAGCACGTTTACATCATTGAAATATATCGAAAATAATAGATTTATTTAACCAGAAGTTGTACAGATCTTTCAAACAGTACAGTGCGCAAAATAAAAAAAACGGACCGTTCTGAATAACTTTTTATCTAATGATCGGATCTTCACGCTCTAGGACTCAATCTTAATAGCTGGAAAGGGTGACCTTAAATATTCAAGTTAATAAGTGTTGACGATATTTTAAATAACGAAATCAGACTCAAAACTGCACTTTCTTTAACTAAACATTTTTTTTAAATGGATATGGATTTGTGAACCCCCAAAATATAGAAGGCAATCTCAATATGGGAAATAGTTTGATCAGGAGAGTGATCCAAAGCTTGGGCCCTTTAATGTTAATTTTAGTCTTCGTTTCTTTCGTAACAGCTCGAGAACTTTTTAAGTAAGTAGAAAAGTTTTTTCGCACAATTATAAAATTCGAGATTTCAAGCAATAATAATAATAATTTATTATCATTATTTTTTTTAAAATAATAATCGAGAAAATTTTGAATTGTGAGGTACTTAGTTTGGTATTTTAGTTTTTATGTGTTAAGGAATGAAATTGTGCATAGAAAAATACAAATTTGAGTAAAATGGGTTGTATAGTTTCTGGGAAATCAAATTTTCGAAATATGAAATTTTTTAAAATTCAGTTTCTCAGAAGCAATTCGACTGATTTTTTTTTAAATTTATTTATTTATTTTGTGTGCAGTACGTAAGATTAAATTTTCTATCAATACCTGACAAGGGTCCATTCCTCCGTTAGGTTCTCCGGCACATAGCATTTCTAAGGCATAAAAAATATCTGATCCATAAATAATCTCACATTCAGAAGATGAAACCAAAGGGACCTCCACTGCTTGTAAAATATCTGACATATCACCATCTGAAAATTATCATCTTCTACATATAATACAATGTTTAAAATATTAGTCGAAAGAATCATTCATTGTACAATCATAGTGTATGAAATGATCACTTAAAGATTACAATAAATTATCGAATTTATTTCGCAGCTTAAAATTTACAATAATTTTCTACCATATATTATATTTAAATCAGGGTTTCCCAACGCATGCCCTATGCCTAATGAAAAGACAATTTGAAACTTAAGGAGAAAGGGCAATATAATTTTTGGCTTTGTATTCTAAACATATTATTGAATTACAACGAGAAAAAAAAGTTTGGGGACATTAAAATTTATTCATTTCATTGATATACTAACGATAGAGACCAAGTTAGTCTTCACAAATCTTTGGTTATCTGCTCAAGTTATTTAAACATATTTTACCTTTTTGAAAAAAAAAACGCTTAACTTATATAACTTTAGGCAGTATACCCTATGTTATGTAATATGACCAGGAGTTTTTTTTCCTACAAGGTAACAGACACTTAAATGGTTAAGCATATCTAATTTTTTCTTTTAATTGACTGCAGTACGCTCACGATGTATTAGATAAAATTATAGCATAGCACTGAGAGTTCGATCAACGTTTTACAATGCAAAAAATTCCGTATTATAAACAATGACATTTCCACAAAAAATAATGAAAGGAAACTGTAAACATATCTTATACATGGTTTCAGAAATGTTCTTTTAATGCAATTTCAAAAACGGAACAGTTTTAAATGTAAAAAAAAGTTCTTAATATATTTTAAAAGCATTCTTCACAGTAAAAAAAAATTTAATAAAAGCTCCGGAAAAAAAAATTCTAATTCGAAAATCTATTTATTCAAAAATGAAACAGCATATGCTCATTTTTGAGCAAAGTTCACTACCTCAAAAGAGACGCGGAGGAAGAATTGTGTGAGATAGATGCGCGTGGGTTGTCAGCAGGATTCGAACCAACGACCTGCGTGGTCAAAGTAGGACGCTCTAACCACCAGAGCAGTACACACTAATGAATAAAGACTTAGGAAGCTCTATATAGTGGTCGGCGCAATGAAACATCGTGGTATACATTCCATTCTCTTAAAAGTTTTTTAAAATATAGCAAGTAAGCAAAAAGAGAAATTAACACTACCGATCTTCTGATTTAGCTATTGGAACCATATTTTTCAAATGTCAACCCTTTGTACCACTGAAATTGGAAATTAGTAATGTGCCATTGCGCTTCTTCTTTGACAAAGCATTTTGCTCAAAAATTAGTATATGATATTTCAATTACGAATATATGGGGTCTTTAAATACGACCACTATTTGTTTTGTTTCGGAACTATTTTGACACATGTTAACTCATTTTTCTTACAGATATGTACTGGTAAAGATGAATCTTGACAGCTGAACTTGACAATGGAAGAAGTTAGAATTGTTTGGCCTTAAAATTCTATTTGATTCTGGCACATTTTAATACAAAATATATAATTGGGAATGCAAAAAAGATTTCCATAGTAAATATTAATATAAAATTTTAATTAATTTTATTATAAATGTGGTTTATATTTTAATATTTTTAATTGAAATTTAGAAATAAAAAATATATGCACTAGTTTTCCATTATTTTTTATGTTTTTGTGGTCGAAATTCAGTTCTTTTCAAAGTATCATCAATAAATAGAAATCCCGTATTGAAAATTTTTGAAGAAATGCAAAATAATTTTGAATATTGAAAAACACTATCATTATGTGAAATAGGCATTACTTCGTTCGGCAAAAAGTTTTACGAACTTTTTAAAGTTTTTAAATAATTTAGTTGATAAAAAGTTAATTAATTTGGAAAATCTATGGGATGATATGGTTATTACAATTAAAAAAATCCCCTTAAGAAAATCTGTTTTTTGCCAAGGTACAGACTATTTGCCTTTTCCATTTTAAATGTGATATTTATAATGGTCATACATATTTATTTTTTTTTCCATTTATTTATTCATTTTTTTTCCATAAATTTTTTTTAATCTCATTCTTTCGTTTCCTTCCTTCTAAGCTATATATTTCTAAATATTAATCACATATTCCGCCATTATTTAAATTTCAGATGTCAGGAGGATATATATAAATACAGGAAAACTCTTTTTATATTATAAAATAGTTAAGTTGTTGTTTTTAATGTAACTTGCCAATGCCAGCAAGCCTGTTGGTTGAAACCAAGCGAATTTTAGGCTTTTAGGCGGAGGTTGCGTTTCGTATTTTTAAGTGGCACCATCTATAAGCAATATTACGACTTCAGCCATACACATGTCATATCCCGTTTATAGAGCAGACTTATCCCATACATCCATTTATTCATTCTTAATCGTGATTTTGTCCTGAAACAGAGAACGATCACTCTCCCATTCAGTACCCCCAGAGGTATGATTTGATATGGGAACATGGGGGACTTTGTGAATAGACAGATTTACCGTGCACCAGTCACCATTTACATCACGGGGAGTTCATAAAATTCATTTTTAGTAAATAAAATTATTTTTGCTTCCAATAGCAGCTGTATTACCAGAATTAATCAAGCATCATTGGCGTCAATAATAGTAAAGCTATTTTTTTATGTTTTTCTGGAACGAATTAATGCTATTTCCTCATCAATTTTGCTTTTAAACACACCTTACAATATTTTATTAACCGTTCATTTTAAATTATTTATTTTTATAGAATCACGTTATAAACACATAATTTGTGACATAAATACATGAAAATAATATATAGGATTGTTTTATAACTGTGTAGATAATTATTCGAAAAAAATTACATCACTATACATTATATCAAAATTCATATTAGTACTCCCAAAAGAAAGAGATAAGAATAATAAATACACATTTAAAATTGTGAAGTACATTGTAAAGTATATATATATATGTATATATATATATATATATATATANTCCTTTTCATTCAATGCAAAAAAATATATATATCTTTTTTTTTTTTTTTCCTTTATATTTTGCGCGAAGAATGGGAAAAATTTTATCCGTATTTGAATTTTTTTTTTTAAATACCTCCAATTCTGTTTTAAGGTAAGTAAAAACGCATTTAACATAAACGTAGCGTAAATATCGGAAAAATTAATAATAGCTAAGTTGTTAAGAAAAACTTAAAGTATTTAAGCTTTTAGCAATATAGTCTGTATTTATATTACTATAATCCGTATTTTTATAAGCAACTAATTTCATTACCTTAGCAAAGTGGACCAAATTTCTTTAACATGCATAATAATTTTATACTTTCACTTTCGAAAATCTATCTAAAAAATTATCGTGATTTGCATATGACACCTTAAACACCTTTCTTGTAACTCTTTAAATTTCGGTGAATTACAATCCAGATATTTTTGTTGTGAAATATCAGCAAAAACTATTCACGTTTTATTAATGAAATACTAAATTTAAATACCATTCAAAAATCAACGGAATGCAAATTTTTTTCTTTCATATCAGAAAACCTCATTTTTATACTTTCTCACGATGCTTATTTACAACAATTTGAAGAAAAAAAGGGAAAAAAACGTAAACACAAACATATAATAAAATAAGATTCGTTCTACCCTCGATTGTGTCTCCCCATCCAACAGAAGTGGCGTAACCAGTCACGTTCTGCTCCAGTGGCGGTAAGCAGATGCCGTTCACTTGTTTACTCAGAAGGAGAGGCTTTTTCAGCTGAATTAACGCTATATCATTCAGGAAGGTCTCAGGATCAAATCCTTCGTGAACTCGTATTTTTTCTACCTACCACAAAAAGGAAGAAAAAAAATGAGACATTTAACGCGACATTAGTTGTATATTTAGTGATTAAAAAATTATTGTCACAGTCTGTCATATAAATATTCACTGATTGAAATGTTCATTTTTTGAAAAAAAAAGTTTTACAAATGCTTTCGATAAATAATTTAAAAAAGAGATAAATTGTTTTGAGACTTCCAATAAAGATTGGAGTTCAAAATATCACGCACTTCTTTTCAACTTTATAACGAATAGGGGTAGAATGAGCTGTTTAAAATCAATCAAATGGTTTAACACTTTAATTGTACTAAAAACAACATTTCCCCTTATATTATCGCGATTTGATTTTAATATTTTAAACCATATCGTGATCCCTCTTAATTTCTTTTTTTAAAAAAAAGCACCAGTTAATTAAATATGAATTTGTTGCTCTTTTACAATCACATTCATTTTTCTTTTTAACTCTTGCTCTTAAAAAGTATACAAAACAATTATTTTATAAAATTCACAAATTATGTGTTTATTTCAGTAAAACACCTAAATCCGTGCATTTCGAGACACTATTGAATTTCGACATTCCCCATACGATTCGATGTTCAAGTTACAAATCAATCTTCCATAAATATATATTTCGAACGCTGATCAATGTTTCGGAATATTTGTTACGCATTATTATTTACGTTATACCAGGTACCTCAGTAAAACATTAATGTAAGAGCTATGGGCAGTATGACAAATGTTTTTTTTTCTTATCACATCTACCAAAAGATTATTACTAATAATCTCCGGTAATGATTAATAATAACCGTTTTTACCCGCATAATAATAATCAAATAAATATTATAATATCAAATAAATTTATATAGTATCTGACCAAAATGTCCGGATTACTATTGTAAGTATTTGGAAAGTCCTGAAATCCTGAGTCATATATTATTATGATCTTCGTCCCTCATTTTTGCGTCTACGACAACCGGCACATGTTTGAGGAGTTTTATCTACAGTTTTTGATAGGTGTCAATGGGAATTGACTTCCAGGTGACCATCTGAGCTGGAGTGTGTGGTTTTGATAGGGACGTAATTTGCATTCTAACGCGTCACCAAGGTGATCAGTGGGATTTTGATAGGGGCTCTGAAAGTGCCAATCCGGATTTTGAACACTTGTTTTGTTAAATAATTGTTTTGAAAATCTCTTTCTGTGAATGGAACAGTTAATCTACTGGAAGAGAAATGTACCATTCTCGAAACATTGCAATGCACTCTAAAGCAGATTACTTGTTTCAGATTCTAAAACAGATTACTTGTACTTATTACGAAGTTTCTAAACCATAATTTAGAGTTTGTATCCTGTAACGTTCTGTCGTATCGTATGTAACTATAAATGCTAATTATTGGCTTATTTTTTTCCTATTTTATTAAAGAATTCAAAACACTTTTTTTAATCGTACTTACACACGCAGTGTAATAACTTTAATAACAAATTTTAATTTATTGCTCTTAATATTCCCCAGTATAAAGAAAACATCAGTACACTGAAAAATTTCCGAAGCTTTCTTATGTTCTCAGCATATACATAAATGCCTTTATTTTGTCTTAATTTTAATCTGCTACTTTCAAACTTAACCCCATATTTTATTTCAATATAAGTAAGCCTGATAGCAAGAGGCAAATTTATAGACAAATTAGTTCGGGCACAATGGGGCCTAATGGAATGTCGATCTTCTTCATTTTTGAGCGTGTCTTCTCTATATATACATAAAGGCCTATATTTTTCTTTTATGTTAACATATAATTTTCAAACTTGGTACCATTTTCACCCCAATATACTTAAACAAGAGGCTAAGCTAAAAAATTAAAGAAAATGAGTTTGCCACTTTGGGGCCAAACGGTCATGTCAATATTCTCTTTACAATAGGAAATATAGCTCATTTTCTAAGTATACATAATGGTCTATATCTTCTCTTAATATTAATTTATAACTTTAAAATTTTGTCAGTTATATTGTTATATTGTACTAAACTAATACAACAAGTCACAAAATTAAAGACAAATTAGAGACTGTGTAAAGGGTCATAATATCATGCGCCCTACTCTAATTCCGCTGATATGATTTAAGAGCTTGATTCCTGATAAACAGTTAGATAAGTGCTGTTCCATGGTATGAAAAGTCAAAATTGCTAGTTCTAAAACCTTTCTATTTATGATATTTTCAGAAACAGTGGCTCTGATCCATAGAAGTGCTCAAATTTAATGATTGTTGAATAAGTGTTTTACCGGTTTAATTTTATGCAGAAATTTTTCTGAAATGGAGTGTAATTTCTGCATATAGTTATTTACAACTAGGTGATTTAAAATTCGTGATCCTTAATAATTTTGCTTAATAATTTTAAACCAAAATAAACCATTTCGTTTGCAATTTTTTTACCGTCAAAGCAATTTTTTTACCGCCTTCTATTTTATGTATCCTATGGAATTCCTCAAAAGGACGCTGCCATTTTTTTTTACTTCTTGTGATGTTTTTCTACATTTTCGAGTTAATTATATATTTGCTTCAAAACAAAAAAAGGACAAAATATCCTCTTTCTGAAATTCAGGAAATTCCATTTCCACTTTATAATTCTAGCTTTAAGATTTTATATGTAATTCAGATAAAAATAAAGTTTTAGATCAATAAAAAAGAGCTTTAAAAGAATTACATTCATTTCAAATAATACCAATTATGTAACTCCCCGCTCAAAATATTATAATACATAATAAATTCGCTCTTGATATTAATTTCATATCACCTCTTAAAAATTATATTTACAACATTGATCAGTCTATGTAGGCAGCACTTATCCAATTATCATTTAAAAATGCTAATTTTAAAAAACGCGTAAAGCAATTTTCATTATTTTATACCATTTTTAGGTTTACATAATGATTGAATGTAAAATTTCCTAATATGAAAAAGACCAAAGGGACAAACTGTTCTCTAGTGAAAAGTAAAAATTCTTATTATATTGCATATCAATGTAGCAAATTTAACTATATAAAGAAATATATGAGATTCAAGAAAAGAAAGAGCGAGATTTGCTGATATGGCACACCGGGTCGTGGAGCCCGTATTTACAGTAGAACCAGATTGAGACATTCTAGAAACTCTCAATCTACTGTCTCAATCTAATCTGGGTACTAAATACTACCTAAATCTATCAATCTAGAACTTTGGGAAATAAATACAAAATAAAACAGTCAAATATGCTTTATGCAGTTTTTTTTGGAAAATCGTGTTATTTAAAAAAAACACGGATATTTAAAAGTTTTGATTTCTTCTACAAAAATTTTGATTTCTTCTACAAAATTCGAAAGTATAACAGTTAAATACAAATTGTCACTCGATATTTCCACATCTAAAGATCTTACAAGTGTTAGTGCATGAGCAGGATAAATTTAATTTCATCTTAATAGGCAAGAAATGAAAGAAAATATATTTTGATAACTTTTTTTTTCCTGGTTTAAAGGGTGGATTAGAAGTTGAGAAAGGACACATCTCAGATCGAACCATTGCGAAAAGGAACTTTTTACTTTCGAAAAAGAACAATAGTTCCATTTAAATAAATCTAAATGGATTGGATAAAATTGTTTTACTTACTTTGTATTGTATAGAAGTTTCGTCTGATTGACTGATGATACCAACTACAACTCGAAAATTCCTTGATGATCGTCTAAGAAACAAAGTAACACTTTAAGGAAGCGTGTGATAATTTTATTATTATTATTGTATCATGATATTATAATAAGTTTTTTCTCGACTTCTATTATTCTTTTAAAATTTTTGTTAGTTCATTAGACTTCTGAAAGTTTTATATTTTTTCAAGATCAAATCAAATAATTTTTTTCCATTTGATTTACTTGTCCAAAGCTGTGGTGTGAGTCAATATATATATATATATATATACACCCTTGTGCAAATTAATTGAAGCAAGCTCAATAAATTCAGAAAACTAAGAGAAAATGCTATTTTATTTAAATTTATGCAAATTCAAAAATTTCCAGTACATAATATGATCTCCATGACACTTTATTAACATTTGGACACGATTCGGCATGGATTCCACTAATTAATTACAGTCATTTATAATATTTGTGTCCTTGTACCACATATGAATTAACGCCGTGATTAGCTTCTCCATAGTTGTACAGTCCATATTTAACATGCGATTCTTGTATATGGTCCAGATATTCTCAGTTGGGTTGATATTCGGAGAGTTCCCTGGCCATTCCAATGTCTCAATTTGATTCTCAGACATGAATTTCTTGACAATTTTGGACGTATGGCAGGGAGCTAAATCCTGTTGAAATTTCCCTGTTCCATCAGGGTATCGTTTCTTCAACTCTGGAACAACTTTTTTTACCCAGAATAGTAATGTACTGCTCAGAACGCATCATACCGTCTGTCGAGAATTCCCACTATAACTGTCTTCTGCGCATGTTGTTTTGGTGCGCCCATAGCGCCACCAGTTGATGTTTTGATCTCAATCTGTGAACAAGCATGTTGAGCTCCTCCATACGATAATTAGATGTTTAATTGTTAATCCTTTTTTTGTTTGTGTTTTCTAATTCCGTTATTATTAAAGTGATTGTCTATAAAACATGTTAGAGTCTTTTATGACTGAGCAAATTGATATTTATTACCCTCCAAAATGTGGCAGTCCTGGAGAACGGGGTAAGTAGCACTTACCTTAATTAATATAGAAATAGTTTTCTTCAGTTTTTGCTTAAAAATTGACACAGGAATTGGAAACATAATCGGCCAGATAGTGATGAGGAAACCTCAATTTTGAACTTGTCTGGAGATAACTATAAAGAAATCGTTTCAGTATTGGGCCTTAAATGGAATTTATACAGGGATACTTTATCTTGTGAGATAAATGAGGAAAATCAACCCATTCCGAGTAAACGAAATGTATTATCTATGTTAAGCCGAATTTTTGACCCTATTGGGTTTACAAGTCCTGTCACACTAGTTCCTAAATTAATCTTGCAGGAATGTTGGAAGGAGAAAATTAATTGGGATACAGGACTTCCGGATAATCTGAGGAATAAATTTCTAAAGTGGGCTAATGAATTAAAATATCTGAAAGAAATAGAAATCCCTAGAAAAACACCTGATCTAGATGAAAATTCTACTCTGCATGTCTTCGTAGACGCGAGCAAATCGGCTTACGCGGCTTCAATTTTTATTAGAAATGTTAAAGGGGGAATAGTTAACTGTCAACTCTTACAGGCTAAATCCAAGGTAGCACCCCTAAAATCGATAACAATTCCTAGATTAGAAATTCTCGCGTGTACCATTGGAGCCAGGCTCGCTTACACTGTAAGAGATGATTTGAATATGAAGAATGTGCAAACCTTTTTCTACACTGACTCAATGAACGCTTTATACTGGATTAAAAAGCAAGATAACTGGGCCACTTTTGTTGCTAACAGAGTCAATGAAATTCGAAAACTTACGGATCCGGAGGCTTGGCGACATATTCAAGGAAAGTATAATCCCGCAGATTTGCCCTCGCGGGGATGTAATTCTAAAGATTTATTGAAATCCCATTGGTGGGAGGGCCCCCAATGGTTAAAACTGCCATTCGAGAATTGGCCAGCTAGTGAACTTTCTCCGGATATTGAAGTAGTTCTTTCAGAAAGAAAACGAACTATATCCTCAGCCACAAATTTAACAACTAATACCTTTGAAATCTTCCAAAATGTGTCTTCCTTCAATAAAATTGTGAGAATCATGGCTTACGTCATCCGATTTTATAAAAATACTCTAAGAAATCATAGTGATAGAAAGAAGGGAAAATTGGAGGTAGAAGAGATCGAAGCATCTGAGAAGTTCGTTTTGAAAGAAATTCAAAGAGAATCTTTTAATGGAAAGATAAATTTTCGAACTGTGAAAGACAGCGATGGTCTCTTACGAGTTGAGACAAGAATAACATCGAGAAAAGACTTAGAAACTTTTAGATTCCCTATATTATTGCCTAGCAAGCATGATTTGGTGGAAAAATTAATAATGGACAAACATATTGAACTGAAACATGCCGGTGTTCAAACTTTGATGTCTCACCTCAGAGAGTCGTTTTGGATCATTAAAACCAGAAAGACAATTCGAAGCGTCGTAAGAAATTGCGTCAAGTGCAAAAGATTCTCGGTTAAGCCATTGGAAGCCGTAAGCATTCCACTCCCAGAAGATCGAGTCAGAGACGCAGCTATTTTTGAAATTATAGGTGTCGACCTGTGCGGACCTCTGCTTTTAAAAGGAGATAGAAAATGCTGGGTGGTACTCTTCACTTGTGCCATCTACCGAGCGGTGCACCTCGAAGTAGTATCGTCCCTGTCAACAGATTGTTTCATCTTGGCCCTTCGCCGATTTATTGCTCGCAGAGGACACCCGTCCACTGTATACTCTGACAATGGGACAAATCTTGTGGGAACGGCAAATCTTTTGAAGAACATTAATTGGAACGAAATTGAAGACTTTGCTTCAAGGAAACGAATTTCATGGAAATTTAATCCTCCCTCTGCCCCTTGGTGGGGAGGCTTCTTCGAAAGATTAATAGGAGTTTTGAAAGGCATCCTGAGAAAGGTTCTAGGACGAGCTTGTTTGAATGAAGAAGAGTTAGCTACAGTATTATGCGACGCGGAAAGTTTAATTAATTCCCGTCCTATAACGTATCTTTCAGAAGATCCCGAAGATCTGTCAGCGCTCACGCCATCCATGTTTCTACAGGAAATTAAAGAAATTGGTGTTCCTGAACTTGACCTAATTGATTCAAAAAAATTGAACAAAAGATATTCTTATCGGTTAAAATTGCGACAAGACCTGCGAAACCGATTCAGAATTGAATATCTAGGTTTGCTTAAAGATAATTCTAAAATTAAAAGGGAGTCGTCTATCAAAGAAGGAGATCTTGTGCTAATCGGAGATTCCAACCATAAAAGAATACTCTGGCCATTGGCCAAAGTTGAAAGGACTTATCCAGGAAAGGATGGGAGAATCCGTTTAGTGGAACTTAAGACCCAATCTGGGAAACTATTAAGACCTATACAAAGACTTTTTCCGCTGGAAGTGTAACCATTTTGCTAATAATTTTATTTGTTTAGTTTTTTCAGATGGACCATATAGACTAAGAATTCTGTTTGGATTCGAAAATATTTCTTCGAATCCAAAGGTGGGAGATTGTCGAGAATTCCCACTATAACTGTCTTCTGCGCATGTTGTTTTGGTGCGCCCACAGCGCCACCAGTTGATGTTAATATCTCGATCTGAGAACAAGCATGTTTAGCTCCGTAAATAATTGAACTTTAATTGTTAATCCTTTTTTTGTTTGTGTTTTCTAATTCCGTTATTATTAAAGTGATTGTCTATAAAACATGTTAGAGTCTTTTATGACTGAGCAAATTGATATTTATTACCCTCCAAAATGTGGCAGTCCTGGAGAACGGGGTAAGTAGCACTTACCTTAATTAATATAGAAATAGTTTTCTTCAGTTTTTGCTTAAAAATTGACACCGTCAATAGGATGCAAAGGTCCAACCCCATTGTAACCGAACCAACCCCAAAACATCTTCATCAAAAAACACGAAAAAAAAAGTTTGTTGCAATTAATTTGCACAAGGGTATATATATATCGACAAAAATTCGCAGTTCGTGTAAGCATTCCAGTGTAACTAACGAATGCGTAAAGGGTTAACCTTCCAAGAATCATTGAAAATTCAAGACTATAAAAGTCTGAATTGTTCAGCAACGCACTGCACACAACATTTGCTATATTTCAATTTAAAGAGATATTGTAAAATAAAAGAATATAAAATGTCTACTATTAGGTTGAGATAAATTTGAAACAATAATTTACTTATATTAATATAAATTACTTATTTGTTAATCATTGTAATTTTTCCAATGTTAATTCGAAAATTCTAATCAACTTATTTATTGCAACAAATATGGCATTAACAAGATCAACAATTTGTTGATTGCAAGAACTTACTTATTAACACAATGTGCTGCAGTAATTATCCATCTATCATTCAGGATAGCACCTCCACATAAATGAGTCAGGGGTATTAATATGTTTGTAAATTTAATAGAAACCTGAAACAATTGTTATTTTTAAAATCTTTTGAATCTTTTTAAATAAAAATGCCCATTATAGTTGGCACCAAGCCATAAGCACGAACTGACAAAGTAGCAGATTCATGTTTTTGGTGTGGCACGGAAGATATATAAATGTTAAAGTCATTTTCTTATTTCCAAGGCATTTACGAAAAAAATATTAAACATCGTTTTGAACGTTTTTAGTATTTTTGTTAACATCGGAGCATAAATCTTCTCTTGGAATGAGAAATAAGCTAATGCAGATATAATTTTTTTTAATAAAAAAAATTTCTGTCATCATTAGTTCCTTAACACGTAGTTTGTGAGGCGAAGTTTTAATTTTTATTATCTCATTTATTTAGTAGGAAAAATATTATTTTATTAATTACGTGAAATTTGGCATTTAATTTATAAATTAGTTGGACAAATCAATATGACATAAATATTGAGAGGAAGTTCACGAGAATTATGTGAAATTCTAAAAAGAACTTGGGAAAAACTCTTTTGGGAAGTAAAGGGTCGGCCACCTTTACTTCCCAAATTACTTGGTATTAATCGATTTAAAGCTGGGTGTGCTTTAAGCCACCAATCGAGATAGACGACATCTCATTTATAAAATTATAGATTAATACCTTAACTATTATGGCATTGCGGTTCAGATTGAGTTGTCAGTTTGTTCATCAGAAGTTAATACAACTATGAAAATTAGTATATTTTTGCTTCTTACTATAAATCGTCCATTGCAATTGACTATCTAAATAACATCTGAGTCAATAATATCTGATCTTTAACTTAATGAGCTTTATCCGTCCTGGTGCATTTTTTTAAAACCGGTAGAAACTTTTCCATTAACTTATTTAAAATTAATTGAATTGTAGAAATTTTAATTTTATTATTTGCAGCTTACTTGCCATGGAAATTCTCCAAGAACAGCATTTCTTCCCCCAATTATTCTTGCAATATCCATATTTACTTCTGATATACCACAATTTTCTATGTTAACTGAGGCGTAAACTAAAAGAAAAAAGAAAATAGATAAATAAAATAACATATATATATAATAATAATAATAATAATATATATATATATATATTTAAAGCAAATTTAATGTACCCATCTCTTTACAGAAATTCACAAATGAAATTACAAAACTGACGAAACAACTTTCAAAGCATTTAAAATTTGCAAATTAAGGAATACTTTTTTTATGAGACCATATCATTCAACAAAAAGAGTTTTTTCAAAAAAAAATTTTTTCAAGAAAAATAAATTTAAAAATATACTCACTTCTTTGTAAAGCTAATACAAGAAACAAAGCAACAAGAGTTTTCATCACTAATTTTAATATTTTAATTCATTAATTCAATATTTATTTATCTAGTTTTATCAAAAATAGTTTAAATTTAATTACTCTACCCTATTATTTTAGATTCCTGAATCCGAAATTCTCGGTGTTAAATAAGCTTTTATCTTTATATAGACAGCTACAATTCTCAAATTGCACAGTTATCCTTTTAAGCTGAAAAGCTTACAACACTCCATATCTTTTTTCAAATGTTTTATGTTTTACCGAAGTTATAAATTAAACGTGAACAGAAACTACATCTTTATGGAAACATGGATGATAGAGTGATGATAGTTAATAAATCTTGTCCTGAAAAGTATTTCATTGTTCTTAGAAATAAAAAGCAATATTTTCTAATACAAACAATGAAAGACTAAAATCGCATTTTAAAAGTAGCATTTTCTTCGCCTTTGACGATAAGGGTTCTTACATAATAAAAAGTTTTCCTTAAAACTAAATAACTTTGTTAACCAAAGCATGTCTATTATTTTTTTGGCTTTTCATTGAAGATTTGGTGCAATAATAGATTTACAAGTTCAGGTTCAAAATTATTGGTGAATGTAAAATGAAACTAAAAAAGTCATTACATTATTTACCCTCACACTATTTGCCACATAGTAGACCGATATTGCATTTGTGAATTAAGCATTTTTAATTCACAATTTTCATTATTGCATTTATAATTCCGGAAAAAAAATTTTTTTTTTAAATGAAAGCTTGCTTTATAATTGCTACCCAATACAATCAAGAGAAAAATCTCCAAAAAAGAAAACGATCGAGTCATTAAAGGCTGCTGGATTGTAAATCAGCTGCCCGGTTCATGCAAAATAGGAAAGACTAGCTCATTCAAAAAACACACAAATAGGGAAAATAAATTGACTTGTTATTGCATCAAATCCCTCATATGACACCAAATGAGCAATAAAATGATTATTTCAAATTTAAGTGCAGCGCATTGTATCCTAAAGTAACTGCAAGATTAAAACAAAATCTACAATTGTATTAGTTTTTTTAAAAAAATAATTGCTTTACTTCATATATAAAACACTAATTTATTTGAGTCAAAAGTGCGCAGATAAATTTAAAATAACAGATTAGTAGTAAATGAAGCCATGTTTTTATTTATAAATGAACCCTTAAAAATGTAATCCAAAAATTTATATACTGTTATATTTATATACTGTTAAATTCGTAATGTTATACGCAGGCGTTATTTTTTAGTTCATATAAATAATAATTAAACGAAAATTACCCCGGTTATTTTATTATCTAAAAGGCAGGTTTTATTTTTCCTTAATACCGATATCCATGCCTCCTAATAACTAGAATCCCGATTGTGGTTATAAACATGACCGCAATCATAGTCTATATTGACAAATTATTAACTGTTAGACAAGAATCATACGTTATAGTTAGTTAAGTTCTACACTTTATCAACATTTTAAGCCATAACCATAATACCGACACTTTGAAATAAACCAATTAAGGTGCACAAACCTTGTAACCTTAATGTTAATTCAAAGATAATTACATGGAAATAATCATTTTTAATATTTATTTATTATTTTTTATTATTTAATATAATAATAGTTGAAAAAAATTAGAATTATACGGAATACAAATTAATGAAACATTAATGTAATATTAAGTTTCGAAATGCAAAATTTAAGCGAATAGTTTATGAAAAATCAATTTTTAAAGAAGTCGTATATTAACGAAGGACACCGGATAGTGGATACATAACATATTACATAGTATTTTCATTTTCACTTTTGAGCCGCTTGTTTAATTTAAAACTATATAGTGCTGCCATCTAGAAGTGAAAACAGAAGAAAATTAAGTATAAATGTATATGTATTAAGTTTAAAGTATATGCTAGATTTATGTTTACAATAAACACTAAATAGTAATTGAGAAATTATAATTTATTGTTAGAGCAAATAATCAAAGTTTTGTATTTAAAGATGTATCATTTGTAATAAGAGTCTGGAAGCAGTTGTAGTAAGGTGCAGAAGATAATATAAGAGGATTATACTTACAAATGTAAATTAATGCTGTGTCGAAAACCGGCAAAAAAAAAAAAAAAAAAACTTAAAAAGTTGTAAAATATGTATTTCTACTTAAATTTGAATCATATCCGCATTTATCTAGTATTTTTCTTAAAAACAATTATAAATCAAAAATTTATAATAAAATACTTTATGATCCGTTTATTGAAATTCCTTAAAACATTTAAAACAAAAGAAAAAAACTTAAAGCAATAATATAAGAATGTAAAATAACGCAATAATAATAAAATAAATTTTTTTTTTATCAATTGCTCAATTTTTATTTTTTTACAACTTATTTTGCAAGCATATGCTGAAATATTATATTGAATATAAGCTAAAATTTATTTCATGAAAGTTATAATACGTAGATGAGGTAAATATTTAAAAAAATATTCTTTTGTTGCAATGAACAAAAAATATATTTATTTAAAAATAATCAATTTTCTAACGTAAAAAAACTTTTACATACAAAATTGAAAATACTTATATTTTGTAATTTTTTTTAAAAAAAATATTTTTCTTAAAAATGATTTTATGATCTTTAATTTTCAAGAAAACGGTCATAAAAGTGTCTATTTTTTTTATCCCTGAAAATTATATGAAACTATGTGTATGAACAATATATATATATATATACATTCATTTTTAATTTTTGATTTGTTTTTAGCTTGAAATTTTAAAAAATTTAACTTTTAGGAAAAGCCAACATTCAGTGTTAAATGTTGGTTTTCCAGCAAGCAAGAAAAATTTTAAAAATATGTGTTTTGAAAACATCCTGGCACTTAAAAATAACCTGGTACTAGGTGTAAAATGAGAAATAAAATTTTTTCCGGGCAAAAAAAAAAAAAAAAAAAAAAAACTAANTTTTCCGGGAAAAAAAAAAAAAAAAAATTAGTTTCCAGCCCGTCAATATCACTGGAGCGAGAAATAGCGAACGAAATCTCAATCTATCATTTTCACGGGCGCGAGAAGAAAGGGGTTAAAAAATAAATTTTATCTTGAGCGCAAATTAGGTGATTCACAAAGAGCCTAACTAAGTAACTTTGCTAAGATTACAAATAACACATCACAAATAGACGCATTTGATTAGTGCTGATTAGCTGACTTTAGTGCTGGCATCTGGTTTAAAATAAACTAACTATCTATAATTACCTTAAAAATATCCTGGTACTGCTATCTGGTGTGTAAAATAACGAGAAATAACGAACGAAATCTCAACCCGTCATTTTCACGGGAGCGAGAAGGAAAGGGTTAAACATTGAAGTTTATTCAAAAAATTTAATTACATTTGCTTCAAAATTAATTTATATAAATAAAATTCATGGTGCAGGCCAGATAAATTTTTTTGGAAGGATCATTTAACTTGAAAAATTAATTTTTTTTCTCTCACCTTTGAGTATGCTTTAGAAAATTATAGCTCTTTTTTTAATTTAAGAGAAACAGAGTAGTTATTTTTCAAAAAAAAATCTATTTTTTCCTTTTTGAGAAAATTTTTTTAAAAGTCAGAAGTTTAAACTTTTACGAATGAAAAATTCGCATGAGAAATTCTCATTTTTATATGTATAAAGTAAACTTTGGTACTTTTTTTAAAAAAAATTTAGTAGCATTAATATTAACTCCGGTACGCGCACGAGCCTCCATAATGTTATTACTTTTGATTAATTAAATCAAATACTCAAAGTTTAAGGGCATTTCATTTTCTATAATATCCATCATGTTGGCGAAACTCACACCTAAAAAGCTTGTTTTTATTTTATTTCATACATAGATTCTCAAAATATTAATTTTTTCTGACACGTTAATGGACAACACATTTATTGTTGCATTTTCTGAAGTCATGAAGTTAACTGTTCTAGTAACTGTTAGTTTACTGTGAGGGAAATAATGCTCAAGTTGCTTACATTGAATCCTATATCAAATCAGAATTGTTATTTTCGTTAAAATCAGATATTTAAAAAATAAATATTATACAACATCTTTTGGGATCCAAAATGCAGAAATAGTACATCAACGTAAAATATCTCAATGTATTTCAGTCATTCTGGAGGGAAATAACATAATCGAAAATGATTCTTGAAAATATGCCTTCAGTCAATTATCAGATAAATCAACTTAGGCGATGACATCTATGCTTTTGCTTTTGTGGATTTTATTTTCGTCTTTTTTTCGATAAGAAATCAAAAATAATGAATATTGCGTCTTCTTTTATAATAAAATTAAACATGCTTATTTTTTATAAACATTCCTGCTACGTAATTGTAAATTATGCTACTTCGAAGATTTTTCAATACGATACAGTACCGTGCTGTTGTGTTCACCCTGGAATCTATATCAATACTATAATCCTAGGCTGTATAAAGAAATATGTGATCTAAGTTTTAAATGACAACAATTTTTATTTCTATTACTGTCTTTTTGCAATCTCCAGTCATTTGAGAAAATTTAAAGTTAAGCTTATCAACAGAGTAGAAAATGGTTGTTATGGACTTATATGTTATTTGTCTAGAACAAATAAAAAAATTTGGTCTAACTATTTTTCTTTATTTATTATGGCTGTTCAACAAATGTTTCAATGAAATTCATATATGGAAGTTTAATCATACATTGCGTTATTAATAATACATCTGACATAGTTCCAGGAACTTCAATTTTCATCTATATAGTGTATGTAAAAATTATGTCTCATTTATTGCGATTGATAACACTATTAAGATATTCTATTTGTGTGAAATTAAGCCGGTATGCTAATATAATGCTGATAATTCTATAGCTTAATGCGGAGCTTATTTTGCTTTTGTTACTTGTGTATTAATTAAACGCTATAATAAAACAAAGTCTCTTGTTTCTTTCATTCCCAATAATATAATTTCCAAATAATTTAGCTACATAGAATACATTTAGATTTTTCGAAGTGACTTAATGTAATTTGCCGATTTAGAATTTCATATTATTAGATATACTTTTGAGTATGTTTTTATATCAAATTCAAATGCATGAAATTTATTTTTATTAATAGCTTTGCTATTTAATTTTGTTTATACCACTTTGCTCAATGCAATTATCAAAAGACATTTTACTCGATAATGGATATCAATCTTAATTCTCATTTATTTTATTTTTCTTGCGTATTTAAACCATACATATAATTCATTATTATAAAAAAAAATATGCATGTGTATATTATTTTATAACCGTCGTTGAACAGCCG